GTATAGTTGGCATGCCAAGAGTCGAGGGTCTACGCGGTTCTTCGAGACATATGTATATTCTTTGGAACATGTGTGAAGTCTAGAAAGACACATACTTGATCCCTAGCATATGTATATGATTCTTAAAGAATTCTATGTGGTCCTTATGGACATTATTATATGGCACTACGGTGCAATTCTACGCGGTTCTTCGGGACATATGTATATTCTTTGGAACATGTGTGAAGTCTGGAAAGACACATACTTGATCCCTAGCATATGTATATGATTCTTAAAGAATTCTACGTGGTCCTTATGGACATCATTATATGGCACTGCGGTGCAATTCTACGGGGCACTTCGGTGCATTTATACGAGCTGTGGTGACAGCATAGTGCACAACCTCTATAGACTCACATATCGATAGTTCTCACATATGTACATGGGCTAATCCAGAGATATGAACAAATATAAGTTAGTGGTATGATAAATGCTATAGAAATGATATGATGTTGTGTGTGTATAGTGTTTGATTGAAAAAGTATGTGATTATATGATAAACTGTTAATGATGAATTATGTGTATGTATGTATTTACTGCAATTAATCTGATATGATTTTATACGATATGAAAAATGCATGGAATTGCTATAACATGATAGAACAGAACATGCATGTATCAATATATGTTTTAAAGTGCATTATAAGTTGTTATGCCTCACTAAGTCTTCGACTTAGCATGTGATTGTTTCACACGTAGGTTTCGAGAAGAGTAAGGAGTGATGCGGAGCAAGACAGGTCAGTTTTCCTTACCAAAAGATCAGATCAGAAATATTTGACAAAGTATGTAATTGGGTTATGTATAAAGTGTTGGCATGTAATAAGTCATTAAGTACGAGCACTCTGATAAAGTCTTTATTTTGATTTAAATAAAGTTTTAAATTTCCCGGGATTTTTCTTAAGAGTCAAGGTTTGAAAAGTCAATGTGACACTTCGGACTCGTATCCGGGTCGGATACGGGTTGGGGGTGTTACATCTTCTCACATGATGAATAAATGAATCGATGATATGAATATTTTCCTATGAAATTTAAATGATTATATAAACTAGCCATTAAAAATATATTAAAAAATATAGTAATTGACAAAAACTGACAATAAAATTAATTTGTTTACAAATTGTGATAAATATGTTGAAATGTGTGTTGCATTTAATCGTTCATCTTCGTTTTTGTACTGTCAAATAATAATTAAAATAAATAATACGGTACACTATGCATTCATTACCTAAACTATCAGTTTGATCCGTTTTAGTACATAAACTTTTAATTATTTTCAAAATCATACCTAAAGTTTACTTTTTTGTTTCATTTTAGTACCCGTCGTTAAGTTTTGAAAAAAAATGAACGGATACTAAAATGAAACAAAAAGTAAATTTTAGGTATGATTTTGAAAAAAATTAAAAATTTAGGTACTAAAATAAATCAAAACTAATAATTTAAGTACTAAATTTGTAATTTCCCCTAAATAATATATTAATTTGACTAATATAATGAATAAATTAAAAATAATTAAATAATTCTAAAAAAGTAATAATTAAAAACTTATGGTTTTTGATGCATTAAGATCTATATTAAATAGCAAGTGTAGAGCATACACTAAAAGATTAATCAGAGTAAAATATTTATTTTTAGAATAAAAATATATTAATATTATAATAACTAAAACAAACAATATATTAACTATACGAATGTGATAAAATAAATGGAACATTATAAAATAATTGTACCAAAAAATAATTAAAAATTCATAATTTTATGCACCAATATCTATATTAAATGTCAAGTACATACCCCATATCAAAAAATTATTAGAACTAAAATAATAATAATTAAAATTAAAAATACGAAAAAAATAAAAAAAATATACCAATAAGAAAATAGTGCTATGGTACACCTTGCCATGTAGGGTAAAGAGGTTATCACCTTGAATGGCCTTTGATAAGATATGACCAACTAAATGCGATTTTATCTTATGTGATCGAAAAGTGTGTCATTTTTAAGTCAATGTTGTTTAGTATTATTTTCGTAATTTTATTTAAAATGAGTATTATTCTTATTAATTAATTAAAATTTTAATAAAAATAAGAAAAATTAAATTTAAAAAATAACTCAAAACTAATTTTATTATTATATTTTTTAATAGAATTTTATTATTATAATTTTTAGTCAGAAATTTTATTATTATACTTAAATAAATAACGATTTAAAATATATTAAACATCAATGTCAAGTATCGACTTATCGTAACGAGAACTAATAAACACATTAAAAACGATAAATTATATATTTATATATATATATATATATATAATTGAGAGGAAACAAATATATGATATTGAATAAATGTGTATAATTTATATGCTATCCAGATATTTAACACAGAAAAAAGAACAGCAACAATTGCCAATGGCCAATAAGGGCAGAATCACATTATCTGTTTTTCTTGATCTTTTCGTACCCAACGTTTGTGGGGCAGTTATTTTTTTAGGGTAAACTATGTATTTAGTCATCTAACTATTATTTTAATTCCGTTTTAATCACCAAACTATTTTAAAAAATCATTCATAAAGTTACATTTTGGTCACCTACCATTAAACAATAAATGATGATGCTAATGTGTCACCATAAGTTAAAGATATTTCACTATTAAAAAAATAAAAATATCACATCAGTAGTTCTGTTTAATTTTTAATAGCATGTGACCAAAACGGAAGCAAAACGTAACGCTAGGTATGATTTTGAAAAAATAATAATTAAGTGACCAAAACGGAATCGAAGTGATAGTTGGGTGACTAAATACTTAGTTTACCCTTATTGTTAAAGTATTAATCCATGTTGATGGCCACAAATTATTATTATCGTCAATCTAATCCGAAACCAACTTTAATTTATTTTAATAAAATAACAAGTTTAACGTTTTTAATTTAATTCTTACTTAAAATGCATTGCTAATAAAAAGAGTTAATAATTGAAAAACAAAAATTATATGTTTGATTCAATAACAGTGATGGTGGTGGTAAAATAAATTATGATGATAAAATAATTATAATTATTATGGTGTGTTTATATGAAAATTTTTAGTAAAAATGGTTGTTTTGTTTGAATAAATAATTATTTTTAAAATATTTAGATTATTACATTTTTTAATTTAAAAAATAATTATAAAAATCAATAACACTAAAAGCAAATAATATAAAAATATATAATATGGATCTTTTTTGTTGTTGATAAAAATATCAAGTTACACAGTTCGTAAAATTTTACTCTTTCTGCAACTCAGGCAATAGCTCCTGGCATCTGGGTGAAGAAATGCAGCCCTGGTGTAAGTTCCCATGCGTGCTTAATCAAGCAGTTGCACATTACAGTCTCTGGGTTATATGTTCCAACTTTACCGTCCAATCCTTGTCCAGAAGGTTGTCAATGTGTGGCAGCAGAGTGAGGTGTCTCCCTTCCCTCGAGTCAGCTTGTATGATGTCTACAGCTTCTCTGCAGTCCCATTTTAGCATCACTTTCCTTATTCTGATCGCCCAAGCATGTCGGAGTCCTTTAGCCCTACAACTCAACTTCAACGGTGGAGCATATTCCTATCCTCTTCGCAAAGCCTAGCTTCCGATCAACCCAAGATCCCTATAACTCTTTAAAAAAATTCGCTTAATACATTTTTTAGTGCCTATTATACCTAAAAATATGATTTGGTGCATAAATAATTTTTTTTATATATAAAAATATGTGTTTAACGTTTTTTACATTATAATTTTAAGTGTCTATCATTATATTTTTTTATTTTTTTAATAATAAAAAAATATTTAAAATCAACCCCGCGTCGTCCCTCCACCTTCGACGGTGAAGGGTCACCACTGGACGAATTTTGTTCGGAGTAGGATGAGGAACTTAATGGTGGTAACCATGTAACGTACGGACGATTGTAGCCGTCGAAATCGCCAAAAAACAACAACGAAAAACCTAGAAATCCGACGACACTTCGCGGTGTTTTTCATTACGATTGACAGTTTCACGGTGGGTGGGGGATAGGTTTTGTCCAAGACAGCAAGGCGGTTTTGATGATGTCAACAGTGACGACCACATACCAACGATAACCGATCGGCAATGAAAGATATAAATTTTGAGATTTTTTTTGGGGGGGTTTCAATAAAAATTATAATATTATTTTTTAAATAAAATAAATTTTGAAATTTTATATACGTGACACATATCAATAACGGTAAAATTTAATGATTGTTGCGGTCTATATACCTAAAAGTATAACGATAAAAATGTTAGTCACCTATTTTTAGTGAAAAAATTTTTATACACTAAATCGTATTTTAAGGTATATTTTAGGCACTAAAATGTGTATTAAGTCTTTAATTTTTTTGTAGAGTACACTAAATATCATTGAAATATACTGAAATTACTATTTAATTAATAAACTTTCAAAATTTATAAAATAATCTTAAAATATATCAAATAGTCACTAAAATATTATAATAATTGTAACATTTTAATAAATACTAATTTTCTTTTTATATTAATTTGATAAAATTTAACGATTATTTTATAATAATTTGATAGATTTAATAATTGTTTTATAATAATTTTAATAATTTTAATTACTATTTTATAATTTAGAAAATTCAATGGTCAAAACAATTAATTGAGGATGGTTTAGTGATATTTTGTAATTTTTGTCTTTTAAACTAAAACTTTCGGATCTCCGCCACATCACTGCCAGAGGGTCGTACCTGTCAACTAAAACAGCATTTCCGGCACACACGACTTCACTTTCGATTTCTTTGTAGTCTTGAAACTAGGGCACCCTCATTTCTATACAGCTCCCGATTCAAGTAAACGACGTTACGCAGCTTTTCTGGTTTGCTAATTTTAATTGCTTGTTTAATCTCTTTGCGAAATTGTTTACTCGGGTTTTTTTTCCTTTCTTAGTGAATTAGATATTTTGATGGATTGTTTCTCTTTTTTATTTTACCTTTAGGGCACTTTAATGTTGAACAATGTTCCTGAAGAAATTGTCTTGAACTGTGATGCTGTTCCGGTTGACATAGAAAACGAGAGAAATGATGTTAATGTCGGGGAGCCTGCCTCTGGGGCGGCCACCACTTGTTTAACCCAAACTTTAACTGAAGGAGTGGTTGATGGAAGGGTTAGGGAATTTGGGAAGGATATTGTGTTGACTGATGGGGTTGATGAGTTTGGGAAAGAAAGCAAAATTGAGAGTGTGAAAAGTAAAGGATGATTTGGAAGCTGATATTGGGTCTTGTGGTGAAGAGTTCGATGACAGAGGTAGTGCTGGGTTGTGTTCGGCTGGGATTTCTTTGTTGGAGGTTCATGGAGGATTGAGCGGCAAGAAATTAGTGGAAGCTGAGCAAATGGCTGTCGGGTCTTCTGGGGGGGTAACCAAAGACCTTAATGTTAACGCCTCTCCTTGCGAGGACTCATTGATAGAGGGGACTAGTGTCCGCTCGAACTCAGTTTCTGATAAGATTTTTCAATCTGGTGATGGGAAGCCTCTTTCTTCAGCTGATCAAAACTCTTTGCCTTGTGATGACCAGAAAATGAGTTCAAAGGAAGGATCTTCCGATGGATTAGAAAGTTTTGATGTGGAAATTGGAACACCCGATGATACCAAAAAAAATCAAACTACCGTGATCCAAGGTGAAAGGGATTTGCAGAATGCAGAAAACTTGAATCAATCTACAAGCTCCTCTGAGGATGGATCATCTGATGTCAATGTAAAATCTGAATTTTGCGTCTCTGATTTAGTCTCGGGTAAAGTACAGAGTCATCCATGGTGGCCGGGTCAGATATTTGATAGTTCAGCTGCTACAGTGAAGGCAAAGAAGTATTTGAAAAAGGAAAGTTATTTGATTGCATACTATGGTGATCAGACATTTGCTTGAAATGAGGCATCTTGGATCAAGCCCTTTAGGTCGCATTTTTCACATATGGAAAAGCAGAACAATATGAAAGAGTTTCACCATGCTGTGGATTGCGCTTTGGATGAGGTTTCTAGACGGGTAGAGTTTGGTCTGGTCTGTTCATGCATTTCCAAGGAAGCTTATTCCCAGATTAAAACTGAGAATTGTTAATGCTGGGATCCGGGAGGAATCTAGCAGTCGAGATGGTGGGGATAGGTTTTCAAGTGCTTCTTCCGTTGACCCCTTGGAACTTTTTGAAAATATGAAAACATTGGCTCTTTCACCTTCTTATACCGACATTGATAGACTGCAATTCACAATATCACAGGCACAATTGTTAGCATTCCATCGCTGGAAGGGTTACTCTAAGCTACCCGAGTTTCAAAATCTTTGTGGATTGTTGGAGACTGATGCTGAAATCTTTCTGTCCGAGGAAGTGAAGGAATATAGCAAGCTGATTGAAAATGTTCCTAGTGTCAAAGTTGACAAAAGGGTGTACTCTGAAGAAGAGAAGCCAGAGAACCACGATGGCTCTTCTTGTAAACAAAAGAAAAACCATGCAGTTTCTGGGGAAAAAGAAGAAGAGAAAAGTTGTCAGAGTTTATAGCCGAAAGGCGCTTGAGTTTGCAAAATGTTAAAAGGAAATTGAATAAAAAAGGCGATGATATGTTAATGCCTTCATCCCCTGTTAAAAAGCTAAAGGCTGTTGACCCTGTGCGTGATGACATGGCAGTGAAACAGAACAAGAGTAATGTTCCAGCAGCGTCTGTTGATGAGCCTCCACAGTCTAAGCAAACTTTCAGAGTTGGAGCTAGCATTCTTAGGGTTGCAATTCAACTGAATTGTTAAATCTTTTCGTCGCCATTACTAAAGCATTCGGTTGGGAAATCTCCAAAGGCTGCAGTTGATAATAAAAGTAGAGGAAAATCTTCTTCTGCTAAATTAAGAGGAAAGAAGGTTTCTCAAACAGGTATTTCCTCTCCTGATGATATGCTCTAACAGCTTCGCTTGGCTGCCACAGATCCCTTGAAAGGGTACAATTTCTTATCCTCCATAGTTTTTTTCTTTACTGAGTTGAGGAATTCACTTGCTATGGATCTTAACAACTCTGAAATGTCTGAACAATCTTTGGAACAAGGAACTGATGCCATAATGGAGGAGAAATCAACCAAATTCACCTCAATCAAAGACTCGTCTTCTTCTGAAAGGATAATCCAACGCCTTCCTGAAGAGCTGTTAACAGTTGACAAGAAGGACCAAACCACAGAGAAGGGTCTTTTGGTTGTTGAATCACAGTTAGGTGCTAAAGCATCTGCCAATGTGAATTCTGAACATAAACATGCGGCCGTAGATGAAAATCTTGGAATGGAAGCTGAGAAGCAGATAGCAGAGGATCAATCTCCAACTTCTCTGATTCTGAAATTTTCAGACATAGATTCATCTCCATCAGTGGAAGAACTGAATAAGGTATTTAGCCTCTATGGTCCTTTGGTTACACAAGGGACTGAAGTGTTCAAAAAGAGCATCCAGGCCAAGGTAGTTTTTAAAAGACGAACAGATGCAGGAACAGCTTTCAGCAGTTTTGGAAAATACAGCATATTCAGACCATCACTCGATAGTTACCGCCTCAAGCGATTGGCTTCTGCACCAACTAAAGCTTTGCAAGGTGGTCGTAAGAAGAGGAAAGTGTTGGATGAAACATGTGGAGATTAAAACGCTACTTTTGATGCCCAGAGGTTAGGTTAGGTATTCACAGAGATATGTTTGAACTTGTAAATGCTTTTGTTTTATGAGGTTATTATACATGCAGGTTGTATTAGGTGAAAATGAAGGGGGTCAAACAGTGGGCATAGCTATCAAATTCCTAGTGAAAGTGGGTTAATTTATATGACTGACTGTGCACTTTCCTCATTTTTATTTGCAGATTCAAGTTTCGATAGTTATACATTCTTCTTTTCAGATTTGGAACGAGATTAGTCAGCTCAACCCACCATGAAATAACTTCAGCTGTATAAAGCCCAATCCTTTGTGAAATTAATCAAACTTTTTACACTCTTTAATCAAATTATTGTCTCTTGAAACTTCAAGAGCTTTTGAAAATACGAAACAAAAACATGGCGAATTTCGGTATATAATTTTGAGGGGGTCAACTGCTAAATCTATATATAATTTTGGCACATAGAAGAAGTATAAACCCCAAAAAAACGTATAAAAGAAAGAGAAATCTTTAACTTATAATTTCTTGGAAAAATAAAAATATCATAAGAAAATTAAAACGTATTGTCACCATAACACTGTTATCGGGAATAAGTTTGAACATTGCTTAGAATTGGTCGATGCATTGCTGAAGATTATTCTTTAGAGGGGTGTTTTGGAAGAGGTGGAGAATCTGTTTGACGAGAAATCGTGTTAAGGTGGAGATTGTTAGAGTTGTGATCTAATTTCTTTTTGGATCAGGCCATGAATTTATTGTAGTTCGGATCAATTTAAATCCGTTTGTTACTATAATTCTTCTTCCGTTCCGTCTTTATGTTTATCAAAATAAATAAATTCAATTAGAATAAAGTTTCTTCCTATACAAGTTTCCTTTTGTTTTATATCCATATAAGTAGGAAGTAGGGAATAGAGTTTTTTATACGAGAGTGTAAACAGTTGTAAAAAAACCTCGTTTTTAGTGAAATTTTCTTCTACTCTACCAATAGTTTTTATCTTTTGAATTTTTCACATAAATCTTAATGTTCTTTGTTTTTCTTTTAGATCGTGATTGTTTAATTGTCATTAATTGTTTCAATAATTACAACAAAAACTTTAAAGAATATCAGAACAAATTCAATACGGTCATTAGAAATTCAAAATATTCATCATTTAACTTTGTTACAGGTTACATTGGAGGGTGAGAGTGTAAGTAATGAGAAATATGAAGGATTTTATTAAAATTTTATTATTTGCAATTTTTTAAAAATATAATTTTAAAAATAAATTATAAATTTTCATATGTTTTTTTAAAAATATTATGATTTATAAAAAATAAATTACTTTTAAAATATTAAAAAAAGTATTAAAATAAAATTTTAATTATAATTGATGGACCAAATAAAATTAAAAGCTAAAGATGTTACTATCAACTATTGGATTGATTTAATATCAAATTAGGTTAATCTTTTAATAAAATGGAGTCTTCTTGTCATCGAATTAGTTTGAAATGGAGTTGAAGTGGACAATGAGGAACCGAATATAGTTAGTAGGGATTTAATTGATAAAATATTAAAATGTTAAAGGTTGATTTTTAAAAATTAGGATCATATTAAAATAAAATGTAAAAATTAAAGGTTAAATCTAATATTTTATATATTTTATCGACATCATTTATAATTAATTTTTAAATAAAAATGATCAATTTTTTTAAGTTACGTGATTATTTTATAATTTTTTATAAAAATTAAAAAAGATATTGCGTACATAATTTTAGGGGTAAGCAAAACTTGATTCGAAAAATTGATTTTTTTTATTTCGAGTCAGCCCAAATTATCGATTTAATTTTCGAGTTCGAGTTGAGTTGAAATTTGTAAATTTTGAGTTACTTGAAAAATAAAAAAATTGGCTGACTATTTTGATAGTTTTGCGATTTAGTTTTTAATTTCCTTATTCTTTCAATTCTTCTTTCATTTTAAGTTCATTTTTCACCAAATTTAAACCAAATGCTTCTAAACCATAGTAGAATACCTATGTAATTTCAATTCCTCTTTTTTAATAATAATTTTTAATTTTTCAATTTAGTCCCTCAACTTTTCATGATTTTCTTATTTCTTCAATTCATTTTTCATTTTAAGTTCATTTTTATCAAATTTGAACTACATGCTCCTATTGACTATAGTTTTTTTTCAAATTTTTTCTTCCCATCAATTTTTTGACTCTTTTATACTCTTATCAATATTTTACCCTCGAAATATATTCTTGCAATAAACTATTGTAAATATATTTTATAATTTTAGATTGTATTTAATATATTAAATAACATTATAATATGAAAATAATATAATATTATGGTCAGAGAAAATCGAAAAATTAAAATCAATCCTTATAATAATACTATAAATAATTATAATAAAATTTGTATAAAAACTCGAATAACTCGACTCGACTTAAAAAATTGCAAGTTAAGTTCGAGTCACAAAATATGACTCGTCAACTCAAATAACTCAAAAATTTTTTACTCGACTTGACTCGATCGAATGCTCACCTTTACACATCTCATCCTACGTTTGTCCATCTAATTCAACAACGTAAACACAAAAATATAATTTGTTATTACTTGAACCCAGATCACAAATTAAAAACGAACATCTTGATTCAATTTTCAGCTATTTAGATCTCAACCAAGATCTAAATAGTGGTCTGATCCGTAATAGTGTTCATTATATATCAATAGCGGTGACATCCGAAATTGTTATTATATGATCGTGATACGTATAATCACTGTAAAAATATATATTATGTCTGTAATCGCGATAAACCTAAAATAATCAAAAACGTGATCGTACTCACAATCACAATTTAAATATCTTATCCCAATGTTTACGCAGAAGAAAAAAATATAAGAATTTTATCTTAATGCACAAAATAAAAGGATCTGGACCCTCCAGCAAATCAAAATGTCATTATCCGTTGGATGATATCTGAGTGGGTGTAACGAACGAGTAACCGAATCGTAATCCCAAAAATAGGCAAGAAAACAAAACGGAAAATCCAATGTCTAAATCACCTGATCACCCCCACTATAACGGTCCCTTTTTTCGCCTCGGAATTATTTTTTCTTTTCATTTCCTTTTATTTAATTTCTTCTTCAAATTCAAACACATTTCACTTCTCTTTTTGTTTTTCTCAATTCAATTCAACTATTTTACATAACAAACACATTTAGCTTCATTCCCCCTCCCCCGATTTGGTGTTATTTTGGGTCCTAAATGGATGATTTCGGGATGCCAAGCGATTTCGATTTCAAGGGGCTGAGCCTCATCGACGTCTCTTCCGAAGATGACTGCCTCATCGGTTTTCCTTTCTTCGATTCTATAAGCCCTCATTCTTCAGGTTTCTCATTATTTTATGATTCCATTCACATTTCATCGGAAAAGTACACTGTTCGTTGTTCTAATAATCATGTTTTAGAATTACAGTGATCGCAGGTTTCTTCCTTCAATTTACGAATAATTAGCTCCAGAAAATCATTGATGTTAAGCTCATTTTCATGTTCCGTTGGCTTCTCTAACTGTTCTTTTATACCAATTGTTTCCAATAATGCTTCAAATTAAACAATTTGATCATTTTTATTTTTATTTTCTGAAAGCAATTTCTCATTGGAATTTGCTGTTTTTTCGCAAATTTCTCATTAACATACATAATACGGGGACTATTTTTCGAATTTCAACTAACAAAAGATGATAATCCTCGTTTGTTTTTGCATGTTAAATATGAAAATCCCGTTTTGTTGTTGCAAAACCTTTTTTGTCCTGTCTCTTAACAAATTGGATTTTGTGTGCTGTTCAGGGAAGGGAACTGAAAACAAAACTACTAGGTTTAGTTTGGATCCCGGCAATGTAGAAATCTCATCAGGCTTTCTTGAAGAAGCTGGAGAGTTAGAGGAACCACCAGGTTCTTTGGAACATGACAAGAGAAAAAATAGAAAAAATAATTTACGCAAAAATTTTACATGGGATAACGCTTTCTTTGCTAGTGCAGGTACAATGCTATCAATTTTATATACACTTAGCAAGTTATGGTTTCAAATTATTTGTTTTGATATGTTTTTGCATGATGTTTTTAGATTTTTTTTCTATGTATTTTCTATTGAAAATCCATTTTCGTTCTCCTAGAATTTTATAAATCCATCATTTTCTAAAATTTTAGAGGCTCTCCCCGTACCATAAAATTTTCGTTCCTGTTTTTAGGTTTTCTCGAGTCAGAGGACTGGTCTAGCATGGTAGGAGGCAATGAGAATGGTGAAATACATATATTGCCTGGGATTCAAGAGGACGTAAACGGATATTTTGAATCATTAATGACTTTGGAATTGTTGGATGGTGAAACTCTGACATTGGAAGATCCCGGAGCTGATTTGTTTGAGGATATAAGAGCTTCAATCCAGGAATTTAGCAAAACTCCCAACACTGCAAATTCTAGTGTCAGAAAGGTATTAACACTCAAAATAAGTAAATCGACAAATGTCTGCCACTAGAAATTCATTACTGGTAACTTTGTTGTGTTTGTCTGCTGACATATTTTCTCGAGTTATTTCTGTTGAAGCACAAAGCGGCCCCAAAAAAGCTAAACATTGGTCTGCAAGAAGCTGGGAAAACATCAAAGCAGGTTTCTGTCTGACCGCAAAAATTAACTTTTCTAGTTGAGATAGAAATAATTTTATTGAACAGAATGTTCTAAATTCTAAGAGGTTAGGCTGGATTGTGTTGTTAGATTCACTGCAAAATCTTATTTGTTTTTTCCTCTAACTGGCCTGTATAGTCTGTTACTAGAAGTGGAGAACCAACTTCATCTCTTCATAACCTGCCAAAGGGACTAATAAGCCGGGTAGGTTCCATTCCCACTATACCAACCAGGTCCAGAAGGCTTTCCTTGGGTGATAAGATTGTTAAAATGGGAAAGGATGCAAGAAGTGTGACTGGTAATTCAAACAACTAAATGTTTAGATCAGCTTGGTCGAAGTAGGAGTTCTTGCCATGTTTTCTGTTTCATTAACACTGTTTATTTTAATTGTTAGGTAGAGGGACCACTTTGTCAAAGACTCCTGCTTTGGGCAGTTCAAGATTTATTGTGCCTAGGTCACTATCTTCCAAATCTTCTTGCTCGTCCCCAGCCTCCAGCGCAACGGAGCTGAT